TGCAGTTTGGTTTCCTTCCATGTAAATAGGAGAACGGAAAAGTTGAAACTCTTGTGTTGACTATGTTTCTTTTTCACGGAAAAAATCGGAGGACAAATATCGACGCGGACGGGGGTTATTGCGTGATAACTGTCCTGTGATTTTGCACCACGTGACGTAAAGTAACCAATAAAATCGCGCCAAAATTAATGGGTGGGTTATAATTACATTTATTAAAAACTGGATCATTGGATAATGCAATTCAAGACTTTTTATTGGCTTAGCCATTATGGTATATGAGCCAATATACCATAATCTACAAATATGATAAGCGTACGCGTCAGCTTAAAATCAAAAAGGAGCTAAAAAATCCGGTTTCCTCTTACAAAATAATAATTTCTTGGGGGCGTTTTTAATAAAACAATTATTCCACTCGCGCTTGTTGGATACGAGATGATTATAGCCAACTCGACGCTACGCGCCTCGTTGGCTATCTATCTTCTCATCCAACGCTCACCCGTGGAATAATTGTTAAATAACCATACTTGTTTTGGTTACATACAAATAACCATTCTAAATAATAAAAATACATTTGGCGCCCCATATTGCTCAACCTCCAGCCGAAAGGAGTATCGACGTAGATTAGGCATGAAAAAGGATTGCCCCGGGTGCCATTCCTAGAATATGGAAAACACTTTTCAGCTGGCTATGTCTCCAAGAAGTCGCCAAAGGGCGAGTGTTGTTGGATCGTGATCATTTCGTTCGTTCTCACCTCGCGGTTTCTAGACCTCGAGAACATGCAACGATTGAACTTTCCGTGAGTTAAATTTGTTTTGATTTTCTTTGTTATCTACTTAGTTATTCTCTGACTCATAATCCGCCTTGTAAGATTTGTACGCAAAAAAAATTGTTCTGCTGGAATAAAGTGTTACCTTTCCCTTTAAAAATTACTTTCAATCCATGAATATCAATAGCTATTTATTTGCTGTAGGAGCATGAAAGATTGCCTACATTCCTAACTTAACCAGGCCTGACAAAAGCCATGGAAAAGGCCTCAGCAGTTGAGAAGACAAGCTTTCTGGCTGGCTACCATTCTGTGGATAAACAATTTGCCCCAAAGATGTAGACCAGCTCATACCTATACTCTGCATGTTTATGAAATATTTTCATGTAAAGCAAAGAACAGGTAGTTAATTTCACTGTATATGAACAGTAAAGCACCAGGTACTATTTTCTTAAAAACAGAACACTTTCATTAACTATTAGATTATCAGGGGTAATTATATTTTTGGGGGCAGGTCAAATTTGTTCCTCCATGATATGCATAGCATAGCCACACTAATAATATCAAAAGGGAAAAGTTAGAACATGTACATTTATTTACTTATTCTGTTTTCTAATTCTTGGTTCTAGAAACAATTTGGTAGTAAATTACTTATTCTCAATTGTTGTGCTAAATATGGGCTATCAATCCTACCACTGGCAGCTTGAAGGGAAACAAAGGTGGAAAATGAAGGCCAGCCACATCTTTGGGTAGCCAACCCAAAGTACAAGGATGTACTTTGACAGGCCAGGGTAGCATTAACTTATAATGAAATTTTGCATAGTGCATAGATCAAGCAGATGCATACCAACTTACACAAATGTTTCCCTGTAAAAACAAATGTGCAACATGTGTGATCAGACTCCTTTTTTGTTTTCTCAATTCGTCACTTCAATACATTCTGTAATTGATAACCATATCAACAGAAGATATTAAAATAAAGGAACCAATGAGCTTAAAAAATAGTACACTAGGTGCTTTACACCTGATGCTTGACAAGGGGTTAAAAGAGCAAGCGATACAAAAGCTTTAATGAAAATCCCTGTGTTAACAGTGGTACTTGTACTGATGAAGTGTACTTTTATGGTTTTTATTAACCCTAATTGTAATTAATACTACCGGTAATTGTTTGTGTATTCTTGTGGAGTTAATTTGTAATAAATAAATAAATAAAGAAGACAACTGACAGCAACCCATGTTCTGCTTTTCCTTGTCAGTGATGAAAGGAGGAATCAAAAGCCCTTCACTGTGGGATTGAGGAGGGAGAGGAAATCATACAGCTTTTCCTTGAAGTATTGAGCTTGTACAAGTAATGAGTTATACTCCACCCTTTCCCAGCATAGGTTCTTCAAAAGCTCCTGTGAACATGTTGGTGTATTGAATTTCTTTCTGTACTCTTCCTCAGTAAGAATTAGACCATTGGCAAAGAAGGTTGTGTCTGCATCTAGGGCATCTAGCTGTGACATAAGGTTATTTTCAAGCCACTGTCTATTCTCTGTTATTAGCTTCTGCTCACACAATGAGCACCTTGAGTCATAATCCTTTCGTAGGTCTTGCAACTTCCCATCACCAAGGTCAGTATCACCATTCCAAATCCCTTTGACAGATTTCTGTAAAGCAGCATTGACATCAAATGTATCAGCTTTGATCCAGAAACAGCCTTTGGATTACTTTTTTTTAACTGCTTCAATGCCACAA